TTTGGCCCACAGGCAACCGCTTGCTGGGGCTTTAATTCGCCAAGGGTGTCTCCCTGGCTGCAGGAGAGGGAAAGGCTGTGGCCTCCAGCGCAGCGGTGCTTCCAGGGTTAACTGCACTCGGCGCAGGCGAGGTAAGCATCCCTGGGCAGCGCCCTGCGCACCTGGGAGCCTGGGAACCAGGCCGGGGTGTCCACGGCAACCAGGTTGTGCTGAGCCAGTGAGGAGGAAGAAAGGAGGGGGACGCGTGTGCAAGGAAGCAAATGCAGCACGCACACAGAAGCTGAGCCCATGTGCAAGCTTCCCCTGTGACTCCCATCATCCCCATCCAGCTATGCCCCAGTCATGGGGCTTTCTAGGGGTTTACAGTTCCTCCTCCTCCCAGCTAAGAGGGGTGCCTAGGGAGAGGTGGGACCTTTAAAGCACTGTCCAGCCCTCCTCAGCTTCGTGCCCTCCGGTTTCTTCGGACTTCAGCTCCTATCAGCCCCAGCCCTGGGGTCAACATTCAGGAGCACTGGGAGCTCGTGGCTGAATTATCTGGAGAACACCCTGCGGGGAAATGTGGGCTTAGAAAACAGTTCGGCTTCACAGCGGACTGAGTGCCTTTCCTTTACTGGCCAACAGATGCCGGCTCCTCAAGAGGACTGGAAACTTAAAGAAAAGCAAAGGTGGCTCGGTTTCTGCCATGACGCTTTCTCTCATGCTGTGAGAGAAGCATATCCAGGGAGGACTGGAAAGTCCAGGGAAACTTAGAAGGTCTGGGTTCAAGTTGCTGGAAGGACCTCGCCTACTACGCTTGTCACCTCCCACAAGCTTTAGGTTGAATTTTTTTTTATTTAAATAAAAACATACTACAAGCTTTAGGGCGGAACTTCCCTTGTTAAGACAAATCAGAGGGTTGGTCCAACTAGGACTGGACCATCGACGCTTGCAGCAGCTCTCCAGACTTTGGGCTGAAGAATCTTTTTCAGTGCAAGAACAAGATTAACCTTCTAGCTGATAAAGAAAATGGTCAACAAAGCTCCGGTCAGTGGCCTGCAATGAGACGGGCAGCTGTGCATCGGGCGAAGGTGTCTCCGGCAGGGACTGATGCCAAAAGGGACACGACTCCTGCTCCTCTGCGGCCTGTCAAGCAAGCGGCCATTCAGGAGCCCTGCTACACGGACCATGTGGCACCTCCAGCTGGCACTCTCTTCCAGGAGAACGCCATCCTTGACCCTGTGCACAGATCTTGCCACAGACATTTTTGTGGTCCAAGGGCTGGTGCAAGACATAGAATCCTAGAATAGTGGAGTTGGAAGGGGTCCTGAAGGCCATCTAGTCCAACCCTGCTGTTGCAGGACACCAAGTCACACCACCCCACTCAGGTGGCCGCCCAGTTTCTTCTTGAATGTCTCCAGTGTGGGAGAAGCAAAGAAGAGGGCATTGCCCCCTGACTGGCAGTTCAGTCTGTCTTCAGTAAAGGAAATGGAACAGCATCCTCCACCAGACCTGAAGGCAACAGGGCCAGCCTAGAAGGCACTAGGAAAGCTGCCTGGCACACAGTTCTTACTGCCCACAGTTTATTTATTTATTATTTATTTAAAACATTTCTATGTCGCCCCATTCGCCAAAGCCTCGGGGCGGCTCACAACATAAAATTAAAATATAAAACATTCAAATATACAACAAATTAACTATATAAAATAAGTCGCCCTGGCCAGATAAAATAAGCAAATAATATTAACAATTAAAATGACATTTAAATAAAAAGGTCTTCACCTGGCGCCGAAAAACAAGTAACGACGGCGCCAGGCGGACCTCTCTGGGGAGCGCATTCCATAGGTTGGGGGCCACCACAGAGAAGGCCCTCCTCCGGGTACTCACCCTCCTAATTTCCTTCACGGAGGGTTCCTGGAGAAGGGCCTCTCCCGCAGATCTCAGGGGGCAGGCGGGCATATATGGACGTAGGCGGTCCTTCAGGTAGCCAGGACCCAAGCCGTTTAGGGCTTTATAAGTGATCACCAACGCCTTGAATTGCTGCCATCGTCCAGCATCTGCCACCTGACGCAACTGCCTTGTTCTGCATAATAGCAGGATGAGCCATTTTGTCGCTGCTGCTGCTGTCCTTGCTAGGGACCGTTAGGCAGGGATCCCTTTCCCTCCCCCTAGCGCGATTTGGTCCGGCAGGCTTCCAGATAAGCAGTCAAGGAGCTCAGAATCATCTCCTGAGCCCTCCTCTTGCCTCCCACTTAAGCTCACAAGCCTCTGGGGATGCCCAAGCGGGAAGGGGGATAATGGGGAAGAGTGACGACACCAGCTGGGACGCTACCTGGTGGTGGCTGGCCCATGAACAGCTCCTTCTGATGGGTTCAACTGTGCTTAGGCGTGGGAGTCCCTCTCCACCTTTACTAGTAGGGGGCATCCTGGATTCACACCCCGGGTCCCCTTCAGAGGTGAGCTGAGCTATTCTGCAAGGCAAGAGTTCTTCCTGGAGGCCATGCAATCTTCGTATAATGAGGCTGGCAGCCAGGGAACGACAAGCATCCACGCTGTCTCTTTCTGCGTGTCCTAGTTCCTCCTTTTCTCAGGCTGGCAAAATGCAAGGGTGTGGAGGCAAAGAACAAGACAGAGCAACATGTTCTCTCTGCAAACCTCCTGCCAAGAGAACTAGATGATTTCTCTTTTTCTTTCCTTGTATGGACTGTGCCCCAAGACAGAGCTTGCAAGCAGAGTGTAGTATTGGGATCCGACCCCCTAACAACCTTGGGATTTGCAGCAATATTTTATTTAAAAGACCTTTTTATTTTAAAGACCTTTTTATTTAAATGATATTTTAATTGTTAATCTGTGTTTTATTTAATGGTTTTATATTATCGCCGAGAACTCCAAATTTTTAATATTGTTCTATGCTTTATTTGTTTTCCTTGTGAGCAGCCCCAAGGCTTCGGCGATGGGTGCGGCATAGAAATGTTATAAATAAATAAAATAAATACTTGCTGCCAAAGCATTCGCGCTGGTGAGCTGACGGGGGAGCCTTGGCGGTGCCCCCGCAGCTCTGCAAGGGGGCTCACCGGCCCCCTTCTTCGCAGGGCTTCAGCAAAGCCTGCGGTTTCCACTGACTTTGCCATAACCAGTGGGCGGCAGCTTTACTGGCACTGCCATTTTCTAGAGTATTTACTGCCTCTCTATTTTTTTTTCATAGCTGGGGTTTTTTTTTTCCCCCGCCTCAACCATACACTGCCTTAAAGGGGCTCAGTGCCCCTGCCCTGCTCCTCTACCCTCCCCATCCCTCTTTCCTTGGTGTGTCGTGTCTCCTTGGCCTGTAAGTGTGTGTGGCAGGGGCTGCCTTGTCCTACTCCTCATTTCTAAGCCGTTCCAGGCTTGTTGGCTGCGGGGGGACAAAACACTCGACGTGCGTAACACGTTAGGCAGCCCACAATCATTTTCGATGGAGACGCACCCAAGGCCTTGCTTTTGAGGGCTGCTCCCAAGTCCCCAGAGGGGTGGGCCCAGTCCTGAAACCCCCACACTGGGCTGGGGGGCTCCACCCACCGCCGGCATCGGGTGCAAGTCCTCGCCCGGCAGAGCAGCCTGCATCTGCAGACTCTAAAGGCGCCCGGAGCCTAAGCATCTGTCCCAGCCTGTCCACGTCCATGCTGTGCGGCACGGAGCCTTGCCGCTTCTCGGAGGGGGCTGTGCTTGCTGCTCTTCCAACCGAGGGGGCACCCCAGGGCTCAGCAGGCCGTGGTGGCCGACCACATCACATGAGGGAGGGAGGGAGGGAGGGGTGGGAAAAATAATTTGCCAGGAGGAGGAGAGAGGGAGGGAGGGAGAGGTGAGGCCAGGCAAGTATTTTTAGCTGCTCCGCACAGGCCGGGAAGTATGTGAGCAGCTATTCTAGCCAGGCGGCCCCAGGGCGGAGCAGTGAGTCATCCCAGGCCGAGCCAGAACGGCTGTGCATAAGCGCCTGGGAAGGGAAGAGCGGCGGCTCGGCTCTGGAGGAATACCTGCCCTGCCCGGGAACAAAGGCGGCGGCTGGGATTCCACTCCAGGCCCTGCGCTCTGCTCGGCTTTGCTGGGAAGAAGCGCGGCTGCCTGACTCTCCTGCGGCCCCATGCAGAGACTTTGCACCTCCGTGGAGGAAAACCAGCTCCCGGGCAGGCACTGAGGGCTGGGAAGGGCCCCAACCCAAGACCAGTGGGGGACGGGGAGGCGCATCATGGCATTTCCCGGGAATACCGGGATGTCCTTGTCCTGCCCAAGAAACACAGCATGTTCTTTCTGCATCAAGGTGCTAAGTGAAATTTTACCTCACCTGCACCAGCCATGGAAACAGGTGCAGATGCAATGGCTGCTGGGAACAGGGTGGGTTCCAGAAAACACGCCGACGGCGAGGGGTAGCTTTCTTCTGCGGCAGGAGGAGAACACGGTGTCCCTGGAAGGTGGGGGCCCTGAAGAGGCGGCACATGCACGGCCCGCCATCTTTACCAGGGGAAGCTGAAGAATCAAACACGGCTTGGGAATGACGCGCCAACTCGGCTGTTCAATAGTCGGGACCGTTCAGGGATTGCCACCCAATAAACACCACTTCCGATGCTTAACACGGCTTTTCCTGTGGGAATGGGAAGGGCTGCAGGCACTGCTCAGCTCAGAGGCAGGCAGGCAGGGGCCTCATGCCAGAGAGACCCCAAACCCAGCAGCCCAGCACAGCTGACCCGGCGGTGGTGACGGGGAACGAACGGGAGACCTCCCACAGGCAGGTACACGTTCAGAAGCCTTTCCTAGTCAAGTTCCAGTCCTCAGGATTCTGAATAAATGGCTGATTTAAACTGGAGCAATGGAACGGGCTTGGTCCAAGCAGTCCAGTCGCACCGACCCTGATCGGCAGCAGCAGTTTCAAGCAGAGCTCCGCACACGGGGAAGCTTCTCCCCACCTGAGGCCCAGCGCCTGGGAATGGCTGGGATCTGAAAAGGCTCCACCGGCGACCCTTGCCACAACACTCCCCCCACCACACAAAACGTTTCAAAGATCAGGAAATATTTTATTCTATTCTTATCGTACACACAACTGGTTCAGAAACTTCGATTTTTAAAAAGAAGGGAAAGAAAAAGGGGAACAGTACTGAATGTGCCAGCATCAGCTTTGGCACAGACATCCAGCCAGTGGCAAACTCAGCACCCTCCACGGTGCCGTTCTCAAAAGGAGACACCTGCCCTTGGACGTCGTCTCCGGCAGCCAGCTGGGGGGCCCTCGCTCGCCTCTGGCTACTGGGCCACTGGCTGGGGAGCCAGCATGCAGGTGTCACAGGCCCCACGCCCCACGGGGGGAGCCGCCCAAGGCCGCCCGCACCCCCCAAGGCGGCAGGCGCTGCTTTTGCCACCACAGGGCCAGACGCTGGAACACTTGAGAGTGGAATTGGAAGCCCAATATTTTGACCCTAGAGCTGGCCTGGCATGATCCTGACACACCGCTGCGTCTTCGCCCCCGGGGCATCTCAAATCCCTTCTTTTCTAAGACAAGGGGAGAGAAACTTCTCCTCACGCAACAGTCTCAGCTACTGGGACACAGCTTGGTGCCTTCTTGTGAATCCGTGGCTGTGCAGGACAGGTGTGATCCAGCCCCACCCTGGAGAAAAGCCACTTCCAAGCAGCTCAGGGCTGGACTGTACCATACAGCTGCCGAAGCTAGTGCAGAGTGCCACACTCAGTCCCAAAATGCCGCATGTCGGCGAGAAGCTACTGCTGATCTCACCAAAGCAACTGCAAAAAGAGGAAGACAAACAGAGGTGCCATCCCGAGCTGTCCCGGGAAAGGACCGGCTCAGTCCTGAAAGGTTTTTGATGTGTGAGTTTAGGGGAAGGAAACACTGGCGGACCTTTTCGCTAAATCCCTGACTTACTGCCATTTAAGAAAACTAAATACAAAAACCACGCTCAGAAGTTTGTTCTGTGGCATTACGGGGGGAGGGGGGGCAGGCAGCAGACCAAGGCACTGTCCCCCCAGCCACGGCCGGGCGCCTCACTGCTTCAGCTGCCGCCCGGGCTTCTTCTCCTGCTGCCCTCGGCCGCTCCCCGGCATGCCGCCTCGGCCACGGCCCCCAAACACACCTGCAGGAAGAAAAGCAGAGCGAGTTCAGCCCACGGCCGGCACCTCCCCTGCTCTCACCAGGCACCTGGTGCGAGGAGCACTCTGAGCTGTCTGCCGCCAGTGCTAGGTGGCCAGCCAGTCAAAAGCCTTCCGCTCTGCTCACCGAAATTCCAGAGCCAAAGTGGGCTGGGGGACTAACCCTTGGATCGCAAGGGGCTTTCAGGGCAGGGTAGCTGGGAAAAACCACAAGGACACAAACAAGCAGCCCTCCACTCTCAAGCCACAACCATGAGGACTAGAATCTCGCTTTGCTCACAGCACAGTGCTGGCGATGCTGGCAAGATCAACCCGGGCACTCTTGGAGGCAGGGCACTGGCAAAGAGCCCCCCGTGGGGCCCGGAAGCAAACCGCCCTGCGCTGGCTGCCCCCGTTCTGCCTGCTGGCACCAGGTTTCCCACTGGGCTCGCCCCTCACTGCTGCCTGGCCGGAGGCAGAGGGCAGGAAGCCCTGCTCGCGACAGCAAGTGCCAGGGCAGGGGCTGCGGGCTGGCCGGCGCCTCAGGACTGCCGCCTTCCGAAGGCCTCGGGAGAGCTGGGCTGAGCCCCAAGCTCATCAGAGCGTGTGCTCCGACTCTGCCGCGCCAGCAGCCCTTGAGCCAGTGAAACGCAGCAGGGAAGCCCTCTGCCCGCCAACCCGGCCGGCTCGCTGCATCAAGAGGGGCGCAGCAGGCTGGAGGAAAGGCGGGCAGGCGGCTGTGGTGGCCTGCCCACCACCTGCTCCGCAAGAGGGAGCCGAGCCGCCACGGGGGCTGTCTTGCAAGGCCGCCCAGGGACAGGCGTGGCTGGGTCCGCACACGCAGGGCTGGTGGACGAGCGTCCCGAGCGAGCCTGTCCTCCTCCCCGTTCCCACCTGCTTCCTCTCCACCTCTTGTGCCAATCCGGCTGACGGGCGGCGACAAGGAGCAGCGGGAGGTTTCCCAGCCTCTCTGCACCTGCCCCTTCACCTGCCCAGTGGGCCAGGGCGGGGGCACATGCGGCCGGGGGCCGTGATGGAGAGGAGGGAGGGAGGCTCGCTGGGGGAGGAGGGCCCAAGCCCTGCTGGGGGCTGCTCTCTCTGCACAGCCAGGGGCTTTGGAGGGAGGGAGGGAGTCAGCCAGCCGGCCAGCCAGCCGTGCCCAGCAGGCTTCTCATCCTGACAGCTGGATGGGGCCCTGGCGCAGCGATGGGGGCTCTGCCAGCAGAGGTCCTGCACCCCGGGAACTCAAGCCCAAAGAGGGATGGTGACCCGAGAAATGCAGGCCAGGTCTCCTGGAGCTCACGGGGGAGAGGCAGCGACCACCAGCAACCGCCGGCAGAAGCAGGGGGCAGCCTGAATTCCGCCCAGGCAGGGGCCCTGCATTCCCATTCCCGGCGGACAGGACCCCCGGGAAGAGGCCTTACCACGCCCCACGCCGCCGATTCCACGCCCCTTCTGCTGCTTCTGCTGCTGCATCCCGCCACGGCCACGGCCTTTGGACACCACCTCCTCCTTCACCATGTCGATGATCTCATCGGGGATGCGCAAGTACTTGATGGTGCTGCCACGGATGTAACACTCGGGCATGCGCCAGAACTTGTCTCCATCCTGTCCCGGAGAGTGAAGAGGAGGAAGGGAGAATACGAGAAGCTTGAAAAATAAGTCTCCAGTCTACGTGAGAGCTGACTGGCCTTACCTGTCCATTATAATCGGCACCGGTGTCCCTGAACACAGCCCTGTCCAAATGTGGTGGACTACAATTCCCATCCCCTCCAGTCAGCACACTGGCTGGACATGGTGGGAGTTGCAGTCCAATACCCCTAGGGGGCCCCATGTTCAGAAACACCGATTTAGCTTAACCGTTTGCTAAGTCTGAGACTCGCGCTGAAGAATGTTTTGGAAACGAGGAACTACTTCAACTACTAAACAAAAAAGCGCACAAAAGGCAACCGACACGTGTCCTGCACAAGGCGAGGAAGAAGTGCAACACCAAGAACACCAAAGCCAAGCAACAGCTCAGGAAAGGGGGGAAGCCACAGAACGCACAAAACATTTGGGTTTAGGAGCGGTGCCCTTTCCCGTTTCCATGCTGCTCAGCGGCTGAGGTTCTGAGGCACTTAAAGGAAGGGCAGCCAAACCGCTCGGCCTTTTGCACTGCCGGGGTGACTGCTGGGAGCGGGCTTAACATGCCGGAGGCACCCCAGCCTGGCCTGTAGGAGGTGCTTTCCTGCCGCTGTAAAAAGGGCTGAAGCAACAGCAGGTGCATTATAAGGCTCGAAACGGGTGGTGGTGGGAAGCAGAGAGGAAACCGAGCTTTCCCAACACAGCTCCACTGCCCTGGCTTGCTCTGTGTCGCGACGGCTCTCCTGATTTGGTTGCCCAGTTGCTGCCACCTGTCAAAGATTCGTCCCTCCCAAGCTGAAGGAGGGGGTTTATTTTTTGTCCTCCGAACGCAGAGGTGGACAAGGCGCAGGGCCTCCCTCCCGCTGCCGGATCGCCTGCCACACAGCAGACCGAAAAGGTGAGCACAGCCCAGCCAAGCATTTGCTGGCAACTCCCGGCCAAGCCTGGGCCTCGGGGGGGGGGGGGGGGGAGCTGGCACCTGCAGAGGAAGCTGAGCAGCACCATCTAGTGGACAGCAGGAAAAGGTACGAGAAGGGCTGCGACAGCCACGTGGGGCCGAGCGTCCGAGGGCCCTGTCTGCCCCTCCAAGCTGTCCTGGGAAGCAGCAGGGAGCACGCAGCGCCAAGCTCCCGGCACAGCTTGCTTCCGTTCAGAAGTACGTTTGCTTGTGGCCAGTGCATTTTTTGGTAAGAAAAAAGATGCCAGAACTCATGAAATTATTTACCTTTCGCACGTAGTCAATCACTGTACACACACCCTCACACTTCAGTTGTGTAATGAACATAACGGTTGCCACCCACAGTAAGCACTCGGCGCGCGACCACACGACCAGTCACAAGCCGAGCGGCACCGTCACAACCAGCACGGACAAAGTGCGCATGCATTGGACTCGACACGCAAGCAGCCCGCATGCACCGTTTTAATGATTTTGCCGCCGACCTGCTGCGCTCGACAGGGCGATTCAAATCCACGTGGACCAAACATGAAATTTTCAAGTTACTTTTAAAACTGGAAAAATCTGTTGAAAAAAGATGCCGGAACTCTGTTCTGGTGCGTTCTATGACAAAAAAGGCACTGCTTGTGGCCATCTTATTGGGCCCATCCTGGCAGCATCCCCAGAAGAACCTGGCCTTACCCTGGAGGTGCAGATGACTTCTCGGAGGTTGATGTTCATCCAGTTGTCACAGCTCACCAGGTGTCCATTGTACGTTTCCCCATTTTTGAGCTCCACCAGCTGGAAGGATAAGGCGGAGAGTCTCAGGGAGAGAGCGAGGGGGAGGGAGCTTGCCCATGAGTGCTGCTACAAAGAGGTGCGAGGCCTGCCCCCCCCACCCCAAAAGCAGGAGTTTGGGCTTCGCTTCTCTTCCCTCCCCGTTCCTGTGCCTTTTGTGTCTTTGACTGTTAGGTTGTGAATCTGCAGGCAGGGATTGCGTAGCTTTTAAAAACTGCATAGTGCTTGGAAAAACTGAGCCAATTTTTGGAGTAGCAGGTAATGTTTGTTCTAGAATGGTGGCGGCAGTTTCACTCAGACGAGGCCCTGCCCACAGTATGAAATGTTATGGCAAAACCCCCCCAAGCTATAAAAAGGAAAAGATCACAGCTACAGAAATGCGTATGTACACGTTTCAATATATGCACATAAAATGCGGACACACAGCTGCCTAAGAATAACAAACAAGTGTCAGCGAAGGCTAAGCAAATGGCAGCCACCGATTCACAGGTGCTGCCAGGAGCTCTGAGACCCTGGCTCCCCTGCCTGCTGTCTTCTGAGGCCAGGCCAGCCTGGCCCAATGCGATATTGGTGGCCAAGCGGGGCAACTATCAGCGCACAGTGCGCAACTGACGTTTGCTGCCCCAAACAGCATTTGCTTGCACAGTGGGCAAGTGGGGAGGGGAACCTTCTTCAGCTCAAAGGCCAGATGCCGCTTCGGAGCAGCTCTTCGGGGCCATGCCGTGGCGGTGTGTGGGGGCAGGCGAAATGAGCAGGAACAAAAAGTCCAGCTTATCTGAACTTGACGCTCTTCCTATCAGTAACTAAGTCCTGCGAAAGGAATTTTGACCTTTCAGAATGGGGGAGTTGTAGTCCTGTTTGCAGCATTCCAGACTGCTTAGCTCTACCCAAAATCAACCAAAAAATGGTGCTGCCTTTAACATTTCCCAAAATTATACTTGTTGTTTATTTAGACCATTGCTTTAAACATATTTGCATTTTTAATATGTACTTTTGTTTAGCATGTTTGTTTTAAGAAGACACTCCCAAGATGTGCTGGTAAACGTGGTAACATGATAAATTGGCGAACTGTTTTGATTTTTGTTTTATTCTATGGAAACCCTTCATGTTCTTTAGAATAGAACATTTGGATGTCTTAAGAATACCATAAATAAATACCTGCATCTATAAAACTATATATCTTTAAAGAAATACACTAATCTATTGCCAATGAGAACATTTATCTAAATATAGACTCAAAGTCGCATGCAGTGGCCCCCATTTCAAAACTAACTTGGGGTAGGCCAGTAATAAAAGCGTCTATTTTTTAATAATATCTACTGAATATGTTGATGCATACTTTGAGCAGGTTTCCTCAACGTGGTAAGACGGTGATGCATCTGGACAGAACCAGCTTGGGGGAAACTAATCCTGAGAAGTGGAAAGTGGGATGGGGGGTAGAACTAAATAAAGAGCAGAGCTGCACACATTCCTAGCTTTGCAAGCTGTGTTACTCAGCACTGCAAAGCCACAAAACAAAGGATAAAAATGTTATCATCTTATTTGACATCACTTGTGGAATTGTGGGGAGAAACAGATTCACACACACAAACCAGGGATAGCAAAGCGCAGCATGCTGGTTACTCACCATGGGGTGGTTCTGTGCGGTCTTCAGCAAGGACAGAGGAAGCTGTGGGGTGGGGGGAACAGATGGGGAAACACTTCAGGCACGTGAGAAAACCGCCCCCCCCAACACTGCCCCAGCCCCACACATAAGACTGCCCAAAGGTGTATCAAGCCCACACCAGTTTCCCACAGCGGTTGTGCTTTAAGGAGGAGGTGCTGCTGCAGCATTTACCATAAACGGCTTTGGGGTTCTTAGAAAGGGAACAGGAAAATGCCACACCCTAGTGCAATGGGAAGCCACTGTCCTTCCCTTCTGTGCCCCCTTTGTGGGGATACCTCTCTGCCCGGAGGCCCCTCTTGGGCAAAAGCCATTGAGAGGCTGCACTAGGCACATCACCCGGGAGCCATGGCCCCTGAGCCCCCAGGCACTTGGGAGGCACCCCCGTTGCAAGCCTCAGCGAGTCCCATCGTTTCAATATCCCCCTCCACGCGGCTTGTAAATGACCAGGAGCCCATCCCGCGGGCCTGCCACAAAGGCCTCCCCAACCTACCACCCCCAGGTATGCTGGTTCAGCTCCCATATTTATTTATTTGTCGATCGATTTGTATCCTGCCTTTTTCCTACAAAGGGCTCAAGGCAGCTTACATCATTCTCCTCTCCATCTTCTCCCCACAACAGCAACCCTGCGAGGTAGGTTAGGCTGAGTGTCTGTGACTGGCCCAAAGCCACCCAGTTGGCCCCATGGCCGAGCGGGGACTCGAACCCAGGTCGTCTGAGTCAAAGTCCCATGCTCCTCACCACGACACCACACTGGCTCTCCCATGTCCCCCCGCATCGGTCCTCTGAAACCCCATGAGGACTAGAAACTCCTCTGGGGTTCGTTTCCGAAGGGATGCCCCTGCTCGGCTGAGGACAACGCGGCCTGGCGGCCCGGGATGACGGGAGAGCGTCCCGCCCGGCCAGGAGGGCCCCGCGTGCTCGGCCGCCCACTCGCGCCCGCGGGGGCCCCACGCGCCTCACCATTTTCCCCTCCGGGCGCTGCCACGGTAACCGCCACCTCCGCTCGGCTCGCTTCCGCCCGCAGCGCCGCGCAGCGACCAATGAGAGGAGGCCGCCGCAAAGCACGGCGGGGCGGGGCGGGTCGCGAGCGCCGTCGTGGGCGGGCCGCCCCTCTCCCGTCGTGCCCCGCGGCGGAGCGCGCGGCTCGCTGGCAAGAACGCGGCGCGGGAGAGGCGCCGCGGGGGCGGGGCGGGGCCTGCCCCCTTCTCGGGTGGGCTCGTGGTGTTCCTGAGCATGTGCAGGCCGCTGCGCTTCCCAGCCCAGGGAGAGGGGCTAAAATCACGGGTGGGCGCTGTGCTGCGCCTGCGTCTGGTATCCTTCGTGCATGTACTTCATCGCTCGGCTTCTTGAGAGCCGCGGTTTTCCTCAAGGCCCCAACTCCGGAACAGCAGAAAACTCCCAGTGTGCGGAATCTAAACGCCCTTCCGCGCACCTGTCGATCAATGGCAGGAAAGCCCCAGGAGAAGGTGCAGTCTTAACCCTACGGGACAGAGAGTGGCGCTGGCGGCCGAAGGGTCTCAGCAGGGGCAGTGCGCCAAGACCCAGGGGGCTTCCACTAAGGAGGAACTGCCTCTGTCGCCACCTTCTGAGCTTCCCTCGGTGGAAGATTTTAGATGGTGGGGTAGATTTAAGTCGGGAGAGGGTTAGGACATGTGTCCCAAGTGGTGCGAAGTTTAAGACTGGCACCTGGAATCATGCTCTGAAGTGCACAGGCAGCCATTGTGAGAGGGCCAGGAGTGTTCTTACATGCTGGGACCTTCTGCAGAAGCTGCAGATTCCCAACACTCTTCAAGGGCAGCCGCTGGCAGAGTGCACAGCAGGGGTCTTATTTAGAGACCCCCAGAGTGTAGATCCCTGAAACCAGGCCATCCCTGCCCAGATGGAGACGAATCGGGGCCACCAGCCAGCACCTCCAGAAGGCACTCTGAGGCTGCCTGAGCCTCAAGTGACAAATAATAGTGAAGGGAGTAACTCAGTGATTGAGAAACAGAGAAGCCAATAATGAAGTCATGATGCTTGCCTGAAGGAATGTGGAGGGGAGAAAAAGATAATTGGCTGGAAAGAAAGTGTGGTACTTCCTATCTCATCCTCCCTGTAGTTTTATGAGACGGGGTCGTAGGCCAAGGTGAGGTGAGAGAGGGGCGAACTAGTGAACTTCCAGTTCGAAGCACACAGGCGTAATAGGTTGATGCATATTAACTCACACACCCCGAATAGACAATGAGCTAATTATAATGCACATGCGATGTATGTGGATGTATGTAATGGGATGAGACAGGGAATATGAACTAGGTGGATGAAAAGATTGTAACCTCCTGAGGGGAGAGAAACCAAATGAGGGAAAAGGGAGGACACTGGCAGATGGACTGAGGACTGAAAGGATGGATTGATGACTGAAAGGAGCGGCTGTGTGTGTCTGTACTTTGGAGAGATTCCAGTAGAGCAGGATCTCCCGTCCACTGCAGTAAACAAAGAAATATCCTCACTCTGTTGGTAGTCTTGGTTATTGAATTCGAGGGGAAGTATTTTCACAGCTTTTTTCACAGCTTTTTGCATAACAATGGCTCCAGGAATGCCCCCAGGTGACTCACTTTCTCCTTCAAGGAGCCTGGACCCCCACCCAGAGCAGGTGGAATCCCCTCCATTGTAAGAAAAGCTAGAAACTTGGTGTAGAGGATGCATTTTGCACGAAGAGCAACCTCCTCTTCCCTCAGCTGTCACTGCCAGCTGCCATTGCAACACACTGGGCAGAGGAAGATGAGAGTCGTGAGAAGGCCCGTTCCACCCATTCTGCTTATGCCTTTCCTCTTCCCTCCCCACCTTTTTCCTTGCATGCTGTGGCTCTTAAGAGTGTAAGCTTGCAGGAGTGGGGAGTACACATCAGCTGTTCTGGGGGTCCTTTGGGTCAAGAACCTCCCTCCCAGATATTTCAAATATATGTTATGTTAATTGTGAAGTTGTGCCCAACCCATCGTGACCCGATGGACAACATTCCTCCAGGCCTTCCCAAGCTCACACCGACTGCTTCAGAGACCCCATCCAGCCCCCTCATCCTCTGCCGTCCCCTTCTCCTGTTGCCCCCGATTTTTCCCAGCATCCCCAGGGAGTCCTTCCTTCTCATTGGGTGGCCAAAGTAGTTGAGTTTCATCTTCAGGATCTGGCCTTCTAAAGAGCAGTCAGGATTGATCTCATCCAGGACTGACCAGTTTGATCGCCTTGCGGTCCAAGGGACTCGCAGAGTCCCCTCCAGCGCCACAATCCAAAGGCCTCAATTCTTTGGCTCTCCGCCTTCCTCATGGTCCAGCTTTCACAGCCATATATTGCAACTGGGAAAACCAGAGCCTTGACCAACCCTCGGATCATAGAATCACAGAATAGTCGAGTTGGAAGGGGTCATGAAGGCCACTGGGTTGAACCCCCTGCTGCTGCAGGACATCTGTTTACACCATCCCACTCAGATGGCTGCCCAGTTTCTTTCTGAATGTTTTTGAATGGTGGGAGCGCCCCCCACCTCTCCAGGCAGCTGGTCCCACTGTCCTATCACTCTGACCATGAGGAAGCTTTTCTCGATATCTAGCCTGAATCTGGCTCGCTGCAGCTGGACTTGATTATTCCATGTCCTACATTCATTTATCAGTGAGAATATACCTTGGCCTTCCTCTTTGTGATAGTATCTGAAGGATTTGTAGAGGGATATCATTTCCCCTGCCTTCTCTTCTCAAGGCTTATCCTGTTCATTTCATTTCTCTCAGTCTATCCTCACAGGGCAAAGTTTCCAACCCCTGGATCAATTTTGTTGCCCTCCGCTGCAGCCTTCCTAATTTTCCTGCACTTTTCTTAAATCTTGATGCTCAGAACTGGACATGGTATTCCAGGTGAGGTTTGGCGAGCAGTATAGAGGAAATACTACTTCTCATGATTTGGAAGTGATACTTCTGCTACTGCATCCCAAGATAGCATTTGCCCTTTTGGTGGCTGCACCACATTGTCGGCTCATGTGTAGCCGGTTGTCCAGAATTATTCTGTGGTCTTTTTCTTTTCAGTTCTGCCGAGCCACGTATTCCCCATTGATGCCTTCGCTTTCTCTTTCCTTGGTGGAGGACTTGGCCCTTGTCCCCATTGAATCTCCTTCTGCCGCTTTCAGCCCAGCGTTCACGTTCATGAATCTCGCCCTGGATCTTCATTTGTCTTCTGGGGTGTTTGCTCTTCCTCCCACTTGTGTATCATCAGCAAAGTTGACTCTCTTTCCTTGTACTTCCTCATCGAAACCCTCAGTAAAGATGCAGAAGAGCACTGGGCCCAGGGCTGAACCCTGCGGCACCCACTAGTCAGTTGCCTCCGTCCAGTCTGAGAAGGAGCCATTGATGAGCACTCCTTGTGTCCGATGCAGCAGCCCATTTTGGATCCAGGCGGTGGAGGGAGAGGGTGGGCGTTTATGGTCGACGCACGCTGGTGCGTCGGGGAAGCCCTTGTTGTATTTGCTTTCTACTGCTTGGCCCAGAAAATTGCAGCAGGACCCAATCTGAGGTGGGCCTAGTTATGTGATGTTAGTCTCGAAGTCATGCCCGACCCATCACAACCCCACAGACAACCTTCCTTCAGGATCTCCTGACTTCCACCATCCCCTGGAGTCTACCTGAGCTCACACCCACCACCCCAGGGACCCCATCCAGCCACCTCATCCTCTGCTGCCCCCTCCTTCTTTTGCCTTCAATCCTTCCCAGCATCAGGCTCTTCTCCAGGGAGTCCTTCCTTCTCATCAGGTGGCCAAAGTATTTGAGCTTCATCTTCAGTATCTGGCCTTCGAAAGAGCAATCAGGGTTGATCTCCTCCAGGACTGACCGGTTTGATTGCTTTGCAGTCCAAGGGACTCACAGGAGTTTCCTCCAGCATCAAAGTTCAAAGACCTCAATCCTTTTGCGCTCAGCCTTCCTTATGGTCCAGCTTTGACAGCCATACATTGCAACTGGGAAAACCATAGCCTTGACTATACGCACTTTTGTTGGCAGGGTGATGTCTCTGCTTTTTAGTATGTTTTCTAGATTTGCCATAGCTTTCCTCCCCAGGCTCAAGCATCTTTTAATTTCTTGGCTGCAGTCCCCATCTGCAATGATCTTGGAGCCCAGGAAAATAAAATCTGTCGCTCCCTCCATTTCTTCCCCATCTATTTGCCAGGAAGTGAGAGGACCGGATGCCATGATCTTAGTTTTCCTAATGTTGAGTTTCAAGCCAACTTTTGCGCTCTCCTCCTTCACCCTCATCAAGAGGCTCTTCAGTTCCTCTTCACTTTCTGCCATTAGAGTGGTATCATCTGCATATCTGAGGTTGTGGCTATTTCTCCCAGCAATCTTAATTCCAACTGGTGATTCATCCAGCCCCACCTTTCTCATGATGTGCTCTGCATATAAGTTAAATGGGCAGGGCGACAGTATACAGCCTTGCCGAACTCCTTTCCTGATTTTGAACCAATCCGTGGTTCCATGTCCAGTTCTCACTGTTGCTTAGAATTCGGGAAGTTCTTGGGGAGAGAGGACCAGGTGGCTAAATGTCTTGGAGGGTCATTTCTGTTGCGACCTTTGCCCAGGCCGCTAGAAGTGGCAGTGCAGGGTGAGACGAGCCTTGCTAATGGCTGGTGGAACTCAACCTTTGATCTGTGCACTGTGGCACCTGCTGGATTTCATCTGCCCTTCTGATTCAGCTGCTGGGGCTAAGGCCACAGGCGGTGGCAGCCGGCTTTGGTTTCCAGCATTCTGACAATTTGTTGTGGCTTCAGCAAATTGTCAGTCGCACACCCATGCACCCAAGGGCTGTTCTTTAAATCAGCTTTTTCCATGGGTTGGAGCAAAGGAAGGCTTCTTCCCTCAGTATGGTGGCCTACATAGCAGAGGATGTAAAAATCTAAGCAGTTCGGGAATGCCTGTGAATCATAAATATCATCATCATCATTGTCAGGATTACTATATCATTGCATTTCTCTAGGTAGAAATACTAAACTAAACATGACCCCAACAATGCTATATCACGAGGAGGAGGAGTTACTCCATTCTCCTCCCTAGTCAGATCCTACCTGGAGTACCATGTCCAGTTCTGGGCACCAAGATTTGAGGAAGATGCAGGAAAATTAGGAAGGGTCCAGAGGAGGGAAGCAAAAATGATCCAGGGCTTGGAAACGCTGCCCTGTGGGGAGAGATGGAGAGAACTGGACAGGTTCAGCCTTGAGAAGACTGAGGGGGGACATGAGATCCCTCTAGAGCATGGGTCCTCAAACTATGGCCTGTGGGCCAAATATGGCCCGCCATGGTAATTTACCTGGCCCACCTCAGAGCCTTTGGACTCGTTCGGAGACAAATGATCTCCAAGGGAGTCCAAAAGCTCTGAGCTGGCACAGGCATACTCTGAAACTTTCAGTTTCAGAGACTAGCAGAGAGCCGGTGCACACACCAAATTGTAACAGCTCCCTTCAACTGTGTGTGCACCGGCTCTTCCCCCTATTGCACATATGCGTTGGCTCTGAATACAGAGCAGGAATACGGAGCAGGAACACAGAAGAGGGAAGAGAGAGAAAGACGACACTAAAAAAGGATAGAAGGTAAGAAAAATAAAACTTGTAAAATCTTATTTTTAGCTATGTGAGCCACATCCCTGGGCTGCGGGCCAAGCCATGGCCACCTCGCTGAGCCCGGGGGTAGCCGCGCGATGGCAGTGGCGGGTTGCCCCGAGAAGGCCATGGCAGAGGCATGGGAGCCACGGCCTCCAATGGGCAACCCGCTGCCACGCTTCTTGCCCCCATGGCAGGGAGAGGCGGGAGGCACCCTGCTCGGCCGGCCACGGCCCCATCCCTCACCTCCCCGCACCTTGGGAAGAAGCCCCTCCTTCCCTCCCTCCTCGCAGCCCTCTCCCGGTGGGGCAGCCGCCCCGCGCCCGCCTCTCCAGCCTCCCGCTCCCCCTCCCTCTCCTGGAGCCGGACAAGCATCTGCAAGGGGACCCTCCTCTGGTTTGGAAGAGGGGCAGTGGCACGGAGCCAGGAAGGCCGCGACCGAGGCGAGCACACCCTCATGGCTCCCCCTCACGTCGTGCTCTCCCTTTCGGCAGGTGGCGTGGAGTCATCTTGGGCTTCTGCTGCACCCCAAGTGAGTGGAGCAAACATTTTTAATTTTAATCAATTTTTAATTCTAATTATTCTAATTAATTTTAGTTCTAATTGTTTTAAATTAATTTTAATTTGAATTATTTTAAATTAATTTGAATTTGAATTATTTTTTAATGTGCAGTGTGCATAGGAATTTATTTGTTTTTTTTCATACTATAGTCCGGCCCCCTAACAGTCTGAGGGACAGTGAACTGGCCCCATTTAAAAAGTTTGAAGACCCCTGCTCTAGAAGGACCTCAAAGGCTGTCACAAAGAGAAAGGCCAAGATCTCCTCTTGCTGATGCCAGAGTGCAGGACACGGAAGAATCAGTTCAAGTTGTGACAGCACAGATTCAGGCTGGGCATCACGAAGAGCTTCCTTGCTGTCAGAGCAATACGGCAGTGGAGCCAGCTGCCTGGAGAGGTGGGGGGCTCTCCCACGCCGGGGACATTCAAGGCGAAACTGGGCAGCCACCTGAGTGGGATGGTGTGACTTGGTGTCCTGCACCAGCAGGGGTTGGACTTGATGGCCTTCGTGGACCCTTCCAGCTCTACTAGTCTATGATTCTGTTTAAACTATAGCCGGGTGGGAAGGGCGTGGCTCTACAAAGGTTGGATTCCGCTCCCATCAGCCCCAGCCAGCTTGGCTAATGTTCAGCTCTCCCCAGGCAAGTGTTTTACGACTGGCTGGGGCCTGATGGGAACTGGAGTTGAACACCATCTGGTCAGAGGACAAGTAAACTACAACTCCCAGAAGGCTTTAAGTGAGGGAGCGATGTTGAGTCGTGTTTGCGTACGGGGGGCCCTCGTTCCTCTCTCTCTCTATGGCGGGGGAGGTGCGTGTGCGAGATAACGGTTAGAGAAGGTGCGTGCCCCTCTAGGCGTGCCAGCGCCTTCTCTATGGCACGCCTCGGCTCCGGCGCGGGCGGGGCTCGGGGGCGGTCACGGGGCCTTCCGCGTTCCGCCCACTGGGCGGGGCTCCGGCCCTGACGGGGCGGGAGCGCCCTTTGCTCAGTCAGTCGCCTCAAGTTGGTCGGGCTGGAGGGCGGAGAGGAAGGGAGAGCCATGGAGAAGAGCCGGCGGCCCGTGGTGGTGACGGGTAAGGGCGGCGGCCGAGGGGAGACAGCGAGGCCGGCGGGGCGCCGAAAAGCGGGCTGGGCGAATGTCGCGCTGGGGGAAGCATTTAAGTGAGGAACTTCGTCCCCCTCTCAAAACTCCCCCTGGGTCCGGGACCCCCCCGCAGCAGTTCCCCCTCCGCTCGCCCGCTCGCCCTGCACCAGTGAAGCGCTTTGTGCTGCGTTTTTCCTCCACGCGCGGGGCAGGCAGTGGCCGGATCCGCCGCCCCGGGATGCCCCACTTGCCCCCGCCACGCCCAGCTCCCCCCAGCGGAGCCCCCCGGCCCGCTCGCCACGCTGCCCGCGCCCCGACCTGCTGCCCTCGGCTCGGCTTGGCGCGGCGCGGCGCATCGCCCTGCCCGTTATATTAATTGACGGGAGCCGAGTGCCTGCTAAACGAGCCGCGCCCAGCAGAGTCCTCCCCGCAGGCTCGCTCTTCGGGGGACCCTCCACCCCTCCAGATAACTTCGCGTGCCCTCCTGTGCCCCCCCTCGTGCCTGACTTGCCCCTCCGATATGCCCCCCCGACAGTTGGAACTGCACGTCGTTTCCCTTTATGTAACGCTTTTACGCGCCGCTAAGTGTTTCCAGTCAAAGTGTGGGCTTTTCCTCGGGGTTGCATCCCAAGAACTCCCCGGCATTCATTTCTTGCTGTTTTGCTCTTCTGACCTCACTCCTTTGTTGTTTCCTGCTAGAACGCGTTACAAGAGTCTGTGAAAAAGTTGTTTGTGAAGAGTGTGTGTGTGCGTGCGCGCACGCGCTGCGGGAGAGCGCTTGCGAAATTTTGTTAAAGTTATCTTGGGTGAGTTTAAGCCGCTATGCATAACTATGTGGATGGGCGTGTGCAAGAGGCTGCGTCTGTCCATGTTGGCAGTTGCTGTTGTGCAGATTACTTGTGTAACCGGGTGACATGAAAGGTGCGTTGTTGCCACTGTTCTAATGTATCGCTGTTTCTCTCAGTAACCTATCAGGGTGTCGGTTTTTAAAATGTTTAAATCCACCCACAGTTTGTCTTGTTTGCTTTGCTTTCTAAAGAGAGGCAACTTGTTCTGTGGGAAAACCCCTATGGAATTTGGAGCTTGGTGTTTGTGTCATTGCTGTGGGATCTTCCATGAAGTTTGCAGGGGAAGCTGGTGTCTCCACAGATACCCCCCTCCTTCAGCTTCTGGGGCCTCCCTCTGTTCTCTGCAGAAAGTCTGATGGCAGCTGGAAACCTGAAGTCAGGCAGGAGGTCCCCAGGCATATTTCCTTCTGTTATGGACAGAAGTTTTCAGAGAGCTCCCAGTCAGGGCAGCCCTGCAGGCTTCGTGAGTTTTCTAAGCCCTGGCAATGGTCTCTTGTAACAGCAAGCCTTGCCCGGAGGAAGGGGTGGAGGACACGACCGAGCCGAGCTTCTGCGAAAGGACATGAAAGGGGGCAGCGGCTGCATGGGGACTATCTGTGTCTTGGATGGCAGGCCACTCCACCTGCCGTACCCCATCAGTGGCTGGAGCTGTGGCAGAGAGGGCTGCCCTCCGGAACTACTGGTATGGCCTTATCTGGAGTTGGAGGAATATCCTTCGCTCTCGGCAGGGGAAGAGGGGCCGAGGTGGGTGTCGCACCTGAGAGGCAAGCCGTGCCATGTGCCCGCTGTAACAGTTAGCCGTTGCACACCTGTGGAGTGCCGTTGTGCAAACACACTTCCGGGTCCTCTCACACATCCGTGCACCTGTTAAACTGTTCTGATAGGAAGCGCTCTCTCCTTCTGCCCACAGTGTTGGTACAGGTCTGCGCTTTGAGCACATGGCCACTTTCAGTATCAAGATAATCCCATAAAAATCAGGCAGCTGGGAGCAGCTGGCTTCCTGCTAATTAGCCTTGCAGGCCGTTAGTGGGAGGGTACCCAGAGAGACTCCGAAATACTCCATTGAATTCTTATCTGATGGCAACAGCCGTGGTTGTGCAAGAGAACAGGGGAGCACAAAAGACTCCTTTGCTGGTCTCACCCCCCTCCTCTTAGATGGGTGCCTCCGCTGTGTAGCAGCACCTGTAGGATTTTCACTGCTGAAATTCTGCACTGAGGATGATTTTTAGGTTTCACAGGCTGCCTTTTAAAAAAAGCGTTGCGGGGGGGCAATGCAGGGTCTTGTGAAGTGTCACTGAGTGGGGAGGGGGAACGAAAATCTTGGATCTGCTGGCAAAAATATCCCTGGTTTGGTTTCCTCTGGTGAAGCAACAAGTGGCCAGGGCCCAGAAGATTGACAGAAGTCCGTGGCCTTTTCTTTTTGGCCAGCAGGCAGTGAAGAAAAGAACGGGGTGGGCAGGGGGTGCAGTGTCTGTGCTTCTCCTGCAAGTCTGTATTTGATCTGTTTCCCGCATTTTACTGGGAGCTCTGCCCTTGGAAGTCTGCTCCGGTCCTGTCAGCTGGTATCCCTGGCTCCCTAGAGCTGGCAAAATCCAGCTGGCCCCTTCTGGTCCTCGCTTACGTTTCCTGAATTGGAGTGGGTGGGGAGCTTGCTGGCCAAGCACAAAGGAGCTTAGCAGGTTTTGCATGTCCGGAGAACTCTGCTGCTGGCTAGGTGGGTAAGAGCAGGCCTCTGGGCGGCCAGGTGCCTGGCTTTGTTTCCTGGTATGGGAAGCTCTGCTGGTTCCTCGGCTGTTGCTCCTACAGACTACTGGGGGCATTTACGGAGAGATGCTCCAATACTAATTTCTTGCCGCTGAGTTGAATGTTTCTTCATTCATTCCACACACTGGGACTGATAGGGTGGCCCCAGGGCATGTCAGTGAAAGAACTGGGCATCTCGTGCTCCGAACTGCTTCACCTCTGCTCTGGTCAGGGTACAAACCCTGGGATGTCCTTATTCAGTAACAGCAATTACCGCTTGCTCGTTAACAAAGTTATTCATTAGAGAGCCAGAGCAAGTGTTTCGATGGGACACGGTTATAACCTTTGTGTCTTAGGCATATTCTTTTGTACCTTCGTCCAAGAAAAGTTTTGCTAAGTAAAACCTGGTGTCATGGCGAAAGTCTTGAAGCCAGGCAGATTTCGGTTTCAGCTGTTCAGTTATTTGCTGCGCAAAGGGTGTTGAATCTCTTTGGGCCATGGGTGAATTCCATTTGGGGAACTCCATTTTGGTGGGGGGACCAAAGGCAAAAGGGGCGGGGTTGAAATGCAAAGAAAGTGGCCTTTTAAAGGCTCCAAGGGCCAGCTTTGGACTGGGGGGGGGGGTGTTGAATTTGGTCCCTGTGTCTGAGGTTCAGCCCCTTCCCTCAATACACGTGTTGGCCAGTCTGCAGGGACACCTGTCAGGATGGGTAACCATAAAAGTAAAGCCCGGTTTTTAAGATGTTACCACAGAGAATCAAACTGATACAGCAAAGCTAACAGCAGAAATAAACTTTTGCCCAGCTGTTAAAATGCCTCCACGATCAAAACCTTTCTGGAGCTCTGGAAGTTATTAGAACTATTACTTTTTAATCATAAATATTAAAATAATATTACATTATTAAAAATAAAGAGACTAGGGAACGAAAAGGGTTCAGTCGGCATGGAAGAACGCCGCAGAGGGGCCCCAAGTGAGACGCTTGGCGGAGGGTGTTCCACCGTGGGTGCCCTCCCCGGCCAGGGAAAGGAAACGGAAGGTGACCATAAGGTTTGAGTAGGTGGGTGCAGGGGCGGGCAATCCGGTAGGGAACATGGCCCCGAGCCATGACACTTCTTCTGCTTTTCCTCCCCTCCCCTGCGGAGTTTTAGAGAAGCCAGAATTGGGGCCCTGCGCATGGCTCCCTGTGAGGCACAGGACGAAATTTACCTCCACTTCTCAGGTGGGGGCGGGTCTTTATGGGGAGGGCAAAGAGGCAAGACCAGAAGGTGCTGGGGTGGTCCAGGAGACTGTGAGTGTGTGCCAGGCAGAGGGAATCCTGATTGCAAATCAGTTTAAGTCCAATTGAACTCAGTGGCGCTTTGCATAAAATTAGTTTATCGGCAGCGTCTTGGTCCAGCTCCTTTTCAAGTGGGCATCCCTTCCCCGGGCGGGGAGAGCTGAGAGAGCAGGAGGGTCTTGCTGTTTCTCAGCACACCTTCCGCACCTGCCTTTCCTGACCTGGTGTCTCCCGGGCGGTCTGGATTTCTGTTCTAATCAGCCATAAATCTTACAGCCAGTGGTGAGAAACTTGCGGGGAGGGGATGGCGGAGGGACTCGACCTGTAAGCAGAAGTGCCAGGTTTGACCCTGCCCTCTCCAGGTAAGGTGGTCCAAGCTCCAGCCACTTAGGTTCCTGTTTGAGCCAGCCCTTTATTCCAGACCATGAGGACTGGAGGCTTGCTTTGTTTGTAGCGTGGCATTAGAGCTCCCGCTCTGAATGCAGGAGGTGCCTGAAACGGAGGGCCCGCCAGCAAGCTGGGCCACAGTGCCTGACTCTGCAGTGGGTGGCTTCCCGTGGGCCTCACTGGGGCTTGGGATAGCCGCCTCCTGCTGCCTGGCCCTGGGTCGGAACTGCAGCCTGCCGAGCCCAGCCCAGCATTCCCAGCGTTCCCTCCCTCCCTCCGAGTGAGGTTGCCCTGCTCCGTAGCCCTGGCTAGCAGCTCCTCCTGCATACCCTCCAGTTATCTCAGAGGCTTTTCAGCATTCCAGCGGCCCAAATAACAGGTAACTTGATTGATTTCCTGATCAATTTCCTCCGTTAAACCCATCAACCCCCAAGGAAGCATCAGCTGCCTGCCGGCCCGGCAGCTTCACCACCCTCCTTCAGGGTGGGGACTGCTGTGTGTTTTCTTGTGGGTGGGTTTGAACTGGACTGCGGCCGTGTCTGGGAGAAAAGTAATTCAACTCAGCCTGCTTTTCAGAGGTTTTGGACTGGAGCACCTACCATCCCTGACCATTGGCCATCCTGACTGGGGCAGATAGGACTTGTAGTCAAAGGCTGTTGTGGGGTAGGTTGGCGAAGGCTTGCCGCTTTCATTGTCGCAAGTCGCCTTGGGGGGCTGAGCACTTCAACCCAGCCGGTGAGCCTGTGCCTCCCCGTGAAATTCTGCTTCTGTCTTTCAGGGTTTGGCCCGTTTGGGGAACATTCCGTCAACGCCAGCTGGATAGCGGTTCAGGTAAAAGGAGCACACGCCTTGCGCATCTTGCGCTGAAACACACCGCTGTGTTACGGTTTCGGCCCCCGCTCTGCACGAGTCCCTCTGGCTCACTCACCTTCACGGCTGGGCCTACTTGCCCTGTTGATCTCGAGCTTGTAATCTCTGGCTGGCCAACCGCTTCTGGCTGGTCTCCTGTGGTGAATCGGGAGCAGCTCCAGGCGACTAGAGCAAATGCTGGATGCCCCCCTCCCGACACCAGCCTTTCGGTGGCTGAGTCCAGAAACGCTGCTGTTTGCAGAGATGGAGGAACGGATCAGCTGAGGATTCTTGTGGGCTGACAGTGGAGGCTGTCTTAGCCTGGTGATCGTATCTGTTTCCTCACGTAGCAAGATGGCGGCTCAGATAGGGCAAGCCACACCTCCTCTGCCGTGGCTGCCATCTTGGGAGGGTGTGCCCTCCGTGGTAAGGTGCTGCCTGCCCTCTGCCATTTAATCTGCCTCGCATTAAAACAAGGCACTTGCAGAGGAACCATCTGCCGGCCGATAGTCCGTGGCACCAGTGCAGCGGAACGGAAGGAGTGTTCGGCCTGACCTTTCCAGAATTTCAGGGTGTGCCTTCAGCGCTGGTCCCAGGTGCTTCAACTCCGCCTTGAGTCGAAGTAAAACTGGTTGAGGTCCGAGCAGGACCAAAGGGCAAGCGGCAGTGGCGGCCGGCGGCTGTCTGTTTACGTGGGTCAGCGGAGCGCAAAGGGTGGACACGGGAGCACGTCCTGCCCCAGAGCCCCCTCGGTTTCTGTGTTCCACCTGCCTGCGCCAGTGGAGCGGAGACAGTGCACTGGGGACTCTGGCTTGAGCTACGCGGTGGGGGCCAGTCCCGGGAGCCTGAGACGCTCCTCCTCCAGGCTGCCCGTGGGCTCGAAACGGGACAGGAAGCATGCCTGCTGGCTCTTCCGCGGTGGGCTGTGCTCCGTCCATGACCGTGGGGGCAGCGGGCCAGGGGTCGGCCCTTGGTAGGGCTTCCTCACCTGGTGCAGCCGAGAGGCGGTGGGCAAGAACTGTTTTTCTGGGCTTGGGCGGCCGTTGGAAGTGCGGGGGAGCGGAGCCGGCCGGGGTGCCCCTGCCGCAGCCGTCTTGTCTGCAGAGGGACTGGGCCAGCCCCGCTGAGGGTGCCGGCCGGACCTGCGTGCGTCCGCCCTCTTGTGCAGCCAGGCAGTGGCGGAAGAGAGATGTGCCTTGCCCGTCCCCGTGGCAGGATGCCCGTGTGCCCCAGCTGCTGGCGAGCATGGGCGGGAGTGTCCTCTGGTGCTTCTGCCCTGCTCGGGGGATCCCGAGGGCATCCGTGTGAGCAGAGGGCAGGCGAGGCAGACTCTGGGTCGGATCCAGTGTGGCTCTTTTTCCCCCAGATCCGGTGGGGCCGTGGGAGCGAGGAGGCCGGCACAGCACAGGCAGTCCCGCCTGGGGCTCTGGCAGGGCTCCCCTGAAGTGCTTTAGGGGCAGGTCTCCACAGAGGGGTCCCCCCGGCCCCCCTTGCTACAGGGTGTCACCAGCCCAGGAACTCCTGCGAGAACGTGGCTTTCTTGATGGCCGACTCATTTTTCCCCACCTGGTCATGCTGCAGCAAGCCGTTTGCAGTCTGGGCATGTCCCTTTTGGCGTTCAGACTTGGGAATCTTTTTCCTGCAGCGAATAACCCCTGACTGCCCCCCTCCGCCCCCAGCCAGCCTCTCTTCCGCCCCACTTCACATGTGCTGGGGGCCATCTCCGTTTCTGAGCACCACCCTCCCTGCCCCGTGAAACTTCTGTGCTGAGGCTTCTGCGAGAGGATGGGATAATAAAGCTTTAAACAAACAAAAACAAACAGAATAAACAGCCGCCTGTATGCAGGCACTCCGGCGGACCAGCTTTGCCTAATTCTGCCACGTACCAATTTTTGTATCATTTTCTCGTCGTTCGGTCGCCATCTGGAAGGGCACAGAGATCCTCAGGGCACCCGAATCCCTGCAAACGGGAGGCCATCGTCTCTGCTTCTTTTCTTCTCGGGGCAAGTAAAGCATCAGAAGAATGGCTAACGAGCCACATGCTGGTCTTTGTGCAGAGGACAAGGCTCGCCCAGTAACCTTTCCCTGTCCTTCCCGCACCTGAGGATTCAGGCAGGTGCACCTTTACCCCCTCCCCCCACCCCCGCGCCACCATGCGGAGTGGGGGCCTGTGTCTGCGCTTGGCGTGAAGGCAGAGGATTGCCGGGGGCGGTCTGAGTTCTCCGTCCCACATTCTGCTCCCATTTGGACACCTGGATGCTATGAGGTTTTGGCTGGCTGGCTGGCTGGCCGGCTTCCTTCCTTCCTTCCTTCCTTCCTTCCTTCCTTCCTTCCTTCCTTCCTTCCAAGAGAGAACTGTAAAAGGGGATGATGCATAAACTGGCCCTGAAGGGAAGAGCTCTGTTTTGTCATCTGATTATCCAAGCCAAAAAACTTGCCCTCTCTAAAACAAACAAACCAGAAAAATGGCTTGCCTCTTCGCAAGCCTGCTGTTTTTTCCAAGCCGGAGCTCTGGGAATACACGTCTCAGATGCTTTCAAGTTGAACCCTCCGTCCTCATGCGCTGCCACCAGCGAATGGACAGCCGGCTGCCCAGATGTCTGTGTGTGTCTCCAAGCCCGCTCAAAAGGCAGCGGATTTGAATGTGAGCTTTCACTGGGATAATCGGTGCTGCCCGCGTCCATCTCCGAACAGCTGGGAAGAGGCGGCCTGTGGCTGGTGCCTTCGCCCAGTCCTACCCAGCCTGGTGCCCTCCGTATTCTTTGGCCTGCAGCTCCTGCCAGCATGCCAAGGGCTCATCCACCCTGGGAGTTCCAGTCCAGAGCTGTTTACTGGCTTGAAGAGCCGTCGGACGGCGCCTCAGGTCACAGCGAGTGAGGAGGGGGCACTGACCACCGGGCAGAGAGGACACGGCGGCGCATGTGGGGGCGCTGCTAATTCAAGATTTCGGATCCCCTCCCTGTATGAGATGGGGGCATTCTTCTTAATGATCTGGTTTACTCCTAGATCGGTGGCCTCCCAGGTGCTCTTGGACTCCAGCTCCCATCAGCCCCAGCCAGGGGTGGGAGGAGCTTGGCCCCCGAAGCATCCGCATGGGCCTCCAGCTCTGCTGGGTTTATTTGGCTTCTCCTGTCCAGCCCTGTCGGGATGGCCGAGTGCTCGGCCAGTTTTCAAGGCGGCTTGCTGCCCAATCCAGGGCTCGTTGCGGGTAATGTATCCCCGCACCCCTCAGATGCGCTTCCTCTCTTGTAAGCCAGCTTCGGATCGGAGCCTTAGAATTGCACAAGCCTTGTAAAACCTGCCGGGGCTGAAGGGGACCGTTCCTCGGGCTCGGCGGCTCGGCTCCCCCTGCTTGCAGGGCCCCACACGCCCGTTTCGCAGCGGGGTCCGTTGCCGGAGACGTGGGCAGCCGCTTTTCTCCTTCCGGATTTCGGGCTGAGGCTGCAGATCGTTTCTGCGGGGGGCAGCCGCCAAGGGTGGCAAGCTCAGGATGGGGAGTTAATGGGAACAGGGTCAAAGCCCAGTCCTTGTGAGCTGTCATCTCAGCCTTGCCCAGCTGGTGCCTCTGCGCTGAGCTGCAGCCTCCATCATTGTGCTGGCTGGGGATGATGGGACTTGCATGCAGTGCAGCTGGACCGCCTTTGTCAGGGGAGTGCTGCTTTATTTGACTCCTCAAAAAAAGTGGTATCAAACTTTTCTCAAAAAGAACACCTAGAATTGGCTCCCGGTGCGTTCCGGCAGCTGGGATGAAAAGACAAAAATCCTTGGCGGGTTTGCACTGAGCAGGAAGCTCCAAAGCTTGTGGATGAGGCAGGATCAAGTACGATGGTGGGGCTGTTGCTGGTCGTTGGTCTGAAGGAGCAGGTGGAGCATCCAAGGAGAGAGGCAGTCTATCTTGGGGAAGAAATGACTGGGGAGGTCCCTTGCTTTCCGCGTGTACGCAGTGCCCACCAGGACTCTGGCAATCGTGTTGTCTTCTCATCTAGAACCTTTCCACCCAGTTATGCCTAGCTGGACACCTTCCAGGTGTGGACTAAAATTCCCCATAGCGTGGCTGGGGGATTATGGGATTTGCACCGCGACCCCCTTTTTGAGGGCCCCAGACTGGGGCGAGGCTGTTTTCGCCTTTCTGTGAGAGATGTGGAAATGCCTCTTTTCGAGCCACACCTGCCCCGGTGCTGGCCTGGCGTCTCTTCAAAAATGCATTCTTTAGAAAAGATAATTCCTCCTCAGTCTCTCAAGGTTTAACTTAAAAGGATCTCAGCGGTGGGTGGACCGAGTTTCCAGTCCGCCACTTGCCTTCCTGAGAGTTGGCCCGGCAGGCCCAGCGGGGCTTCTGTCCGAGTGGAAGTGTGTCCCGGATGGGGTGCCCGTCCGTGGCTTCCTCTGCTCAGATTAGAGCAGGAGCTTCAAAAATCGCCAGCCCTCCCTCCCTAAAGCCTCGGAAGGTCCCCCTGGGCCGTGCGTGTGCGCGCAAGAGCTGAGATTTCCTTTCGCCTGGTCGGGAGAGGCCCAGACGGGAAAAAAGGGACTCGCCGGCTTTGAACGTGTGCGGGAGCATCATTGTGCCCGACTCAGACAGGACTTCATGGAGCTGCCTGGACACAAAGCCCCTGTGTCTGAGTTCGGGAGTCCCAGACGGTGTGATCTGCATTTTAATAGACGGAAAAATCAATTAAACAATCTTTGTCAATGGTCCCTGCCACCCCAGCCCGGCTCGCGGGGGACAAGTGAGCTCGGCCTTATTACATCTCGGGCATTATCTGGCGTCCTGAAGCCTTTGAGGAAGGGGGGGGGCACCCCCACACCGCTCCGTCTTCGGGGGGTTCTTCTCAGCTGCTCCCCTGGCTTGCGGCTCTCGATCTGGGAGGGGCTGCCCAGCTTTGGGGCCTCACTTTGCCCCTCGGCCCTGTCTGCCCCAACTGCCCCCAGAGGTGTTGGGCGGCTTCCCTCCGGCTGAGCTGATGGGCATTGTAGTCCAA